ACACGTGCGCCGGCTCGCTCAGCTTCGTCGACTCGTTCACCACGCTCAGGATCCACGGCCGCATGCTCGGCGCGCACTCGCCCAGCGCCTGCACATAAATACGTTAACAAAACTAATTAGAAATATCTTACTTACCGGAGGCCTAATTTTAGTCCCTTTCCCTTTCCACCCTTTTCTTAAGAGAAAAGGATGGGAAGTAAAAGTGGATTTGACGGTGGAGGAGACGCATAGGAAGGGAAAATGTCCTCTTTATGTGCATCTCCTCCTCCGTCAATCAAGGGTAGGCAACGCATCTGCAATTGCGGATGTTTATGGGCAGCGGTCGCTTTCCATTTCGGTGGATTCAGGTGGCCGCTTGCTCGTTTGCCACCTTGTATTATAATAAAAAAAACTATATCCGTAGTGTACGAGAAATCTATAACCTATTATAGATCTCCGGCTTCGTGACTGAGAAAAAAAAGGAATCCATAATATTCTCAAATGCAAACTAGCCGTTAAAATCGGTCCTGTTGTTCCTGAGATTACACCGAACAAATACAGCAGAAGAAGAAATCAATTTGAATTTAAGTCATAATTAGAACACGAGCGCCGCAAAGCGACTTTGGTGAGAACTTAGATTATTCTAAAAATAGGGCTATCCTGACTGAGGAGTATTGTGAATGTGTTCCTGGAATCCGACTTTACCCATGGCCGCCCACATGTGATCTCGAGTACTAGTAATTCTGATATCGTGCTAGCTCAAGCCGACATATATATATATACCTTAACGAGATGCACTATGGCAGCGAGCGCCGCCGCGCGCAGCATGTGGTGGTGCGCGGCGTGGTGCCACAGCTGCGGCAGGTAGGCGAACAGCGGCGCCGCGCCCGCGCCCGCGCCCCCACCCTCGCCCCCGCGGGCCACGCGCGCGCCGCACCGCTCCGTCACGTACGACACCACGTGCAGCACGTGCATCTTCGTGTCGCACTCCTCGGACTCCACCTGCGTTACCATTGCACCTTTAATTGGTCCTTTAAGACATATTAATAATGTTCCACTTCGTGAAAAACTGCCTAGTTAATTGCAACGAGACAAACTCCCACTCTACTACATATAAGTACAGTAATACCCCGCCCGAAGAAAATCGCGCATTTTATGCAATACATACTCTTTTCTTTACGGAAAAATACATCTATTGTCTTTTGGGTAGCGTTTTGTTTACGTTGTTATAAATACGTTCATAGCAACACTGTTTTTAATAGAGAATATGCATGTATTTTTTTCTTTTTTTAAACGATTCTACTTGTTATAAAGTAATCTGAAAAAAACTGACTGGTAAGTATTCAACCATTGAGCTAAAACTAATAAAAAAGAAACACTTTCGTGCGAATAAAGCACGACCGGTATTAGTTTGAGACACTTTCATTCGCTCAGATGTCACTTCGATGTAAAAAAAAGTTATCAAATAGATAAGGGACTTGCTTCGACCAGTAGCGTTGCGGTTTAGAACATGGCGAGTGAAATTTCGCCACTAAATCACATTATATTAAAAAAATCTTTACATGTACGGATTCATATTAATAAAAACATGAAAAAAGTTTCGTCCAATTTGGCGTCATATGCATATTGCCTATTAATAAAAGACACGGATAGAAAACACAAAACTGAGAAAGTAAAATAATTTCAATACACTGATGTTACTTACGAAAATTGTGTAAAAACTTCCTAAACTTTTGTATTTCTACTCCTTTTTACCATAAAATTAACTAATCTCAAGTACCAGGATAACATAACATACCAGGAGATCATACAGCGCAGCGAGTGCGTGTGGCGCGAAGGGTGCGAACACATCTACATCGAAGCTGAAGTCATCAATAGTACTACGCAACGCCTCGGCCGCGGCTAACTTCACTGCGGGGTCTTCATCCTTACGACTGAGAGGTTCAAGTAGCGCGGTGTACATCGCCGGCCGGAGCGCCTGCGATGCGCGCACGCCGCTCCAAGTACCTGCAATGTATAACGTTATATTTTTAACTAGCTGTCGCCCGTGACTTCATGCAATATTAACATAAAAAAGACTTTAATATGCCCGTCTATGTCAGCTATCCTTCAGTGAAAGGTTGAAATCGGCCAAGCCGTTTTGGAAGTTACCCGGAACAAACGCAACTTGCGGACAGACAAAAAATGCTATATTCGTTATCAGCAACGCAAATGCATCATCGTCCTGAAATCTGGAATTTTCCTTTGATATTACAGACATTCCAATTTTATTATATGTATATATAGATATCGTAGAGTTTTGTGCGAATGTTTAATGTAGAGCTACAAAACAATAGATGTTACCTATTAACTGACAGACCCTCCTTCTTATAATTCTGTAGTTATTGTCTTTGATCTTCAACTCTTGACTTAACACACTTGTGAACCATTCGTCGAAATCAATCTGAAAAAAAGCCACTATTAAACAAATACTGATTTTAGTACATAAACATTTATATAACAGCTAAAAATATTAGATTGATCTCAAAGATTTACTTTTTACTATCTGAAACTCAGCTTGCGGACAGACAGACACACAGACAGCGAAACAGATATTTTTTGAACATATTTATAAACTGTATAAATTCCGCGTGACCATGCGACATATTATTTATTAGGATAGATATTTATTAGGGTAGCACCATCTTTCCACCACAGCTTTAGACTCATTAGGTGATATCGTGGGCAATCGTTAGCTTAAAAAACTTAAAAAAACTCACGTCATCGTACAGTTCGAAGGCGGCGAGCCCCACCGCGTTGTAGACGGCGTCCTTGTGCAGGATGGCGGGCAGGTCGGCGGGCGCGGCGGGCAGCGCGGCGGGCAGCGCGCCCAGCAGCCGCACCAGCTCCGGCGCCAGCGCCGCGCGGTGCAGCCGGAACAGCTCCATGAACACGGACTCCGTGCACGGCTGTTCACATCTTATCCTATTAATATTACGAGTTGTCGCCCGCAAACGTTGTTAGCGCGAATTAAAAAAGTCATCTATCATATTCACGTGTGCACCTTCTACCAGCTATCTTTTAGTCAAAGTTTCGTCCAAATCGATCGACCCGTTCCAGAGATAGCGGTCCGATCGCCATTATGACAGCGCGGAATTAAAAAAGTATTGTATAACATGCCCGTCAATGTCAGCTACCCTCCAGTGAAAGTCTCGTCGAAATCGGCCCAGCCGTTCCGGAGATGACCCGGAACAAACGCGCCTTCGGACCCAAAGGGGTCAACAGGAGGTCAGGTGTAAAGTATTATTTTAACTGGTTTCGACAACAGAAAACCGATATGTGTTTTTGAACCACAATCAATCAACAGAATCTAACGTTTTTCAGGAATCCACTCTCCCTCCGCAACCAAAAAATAGGGGTTCACAGAAATTAGAAAGTTAAATGTTCTACAGTGATAGGCACAGTAGCAACTAAATATAGAACAAGAATCTTATGATTGTTTATTCTGGAATTTTGTATATATTGAAATTAGCTAAAAAACTACTGGGCAGATTTCAAAAATTCTTACACCCTTACAAAGGTACTTTATCTGTGAGTAACATAGGCCAACTTTTTATTTTTTTTTTATAACGCGGGAAATGTCATGAGCAACAGTTTGTAGATCTTTTTTTATTATAAGTCGGCAAACGCCCCTTCCTATGCTCTCTGCCACCAACAAGCCCACTTTAACAAGAAAATTTTATAAAGTGATATAACTAAAAATGTATTTGTTGTAAAGACTGACCCGAAGGCTGTACTTCCAGGATTCGCCGGCCTCGTCGGTGGCGAAGCTCTCGGGCTCCGCGTCCCAGAGCGCGAGGTCGTCGCCGCTGAGCGGGAAGTAGTGCGCCACGAGGTGCCGGCACATGTGGCACACTGTGCGCTCGTCCAGCACCTCCTGCTTCACCTGGTGCGCCTGCAGCACCACTGGACACCGACAAACACGATTTTGCTCAACATCCAGTCATCATCTTCCTCCTTATCTTACTCCCGTAGGGTCGGCGCAACAGGTTTTTATCCTCAACATAACTAACATACGTCATTTCAGTCATTCCCTTCTTGATCATGTCATCTTTCACTCAAACCATCTCTTTCTAGGTCTACCTCTACCGGTGTACTTCCACACTCAGAACTAACGTTCACCTTGTAACATGCAATTCATCCCACCAGTTTTTAATATTCATATCCCTCTCATTGCATATGTCCTTACAATGTTAACCTTTGCTTTTCAAATTCTCCACCATTGGTGCTACTTTCAAACTTGTTCTAATATACATTCTTAATTGTAGCAGTAAAATATAATCATATATCAAATAAAACAAAACTATGTTCAAAAGTATTTCATTTCGTTTCAACATTTTGTGGCGGCCATCTTGGATTATACAATATTCTACTAGTTAACCATGAGTATACTTAAATATACTTTATGTGAAAAAATATATCATCATCCACTTGCCCTTATCCCTTATGGAGTGTCGGCACAGTATGTGCTGCTCTTCCATACATCTCTATCAGCCGTCATATCTGAATCCACTCCTTTCTTAAG